AAACCCTAATCGCTCTTCTCTCTTTCCAGCGAGGTCCCTATTTCTCTGTTCTATCTAATCCTCGTGGTGTTGTTCTTCCTGTCTTTAAGGTTTTCATTCTGCTTCGTCCTTTATGCAATTCCTCGCCATATTCCTGTATTGAATTTTCTTCCTTTCTTGTATATGTGTTACGACCCCCCTTTTTCTGTATCTTTCAGCTTAATATTTATAAGCTTTAGATTAGGGTTTCTAGAACCAATTAGGGACTTTTTCCTGTTGATTGATTTAGAATATATTATTTAATTTTCGGATTTGTATTATGTGTTTGTACTGATTTTCTGGATTGTAAAAGATTTTCTGGATTTCATATCAATTTCAGTTTTAACGTGAATATTCTGGATTTTTTTTTAGATTGAGATTTGATTAGTTGATTGTAATGGATAGAGATTTGATTTCTATAGATTTCTACAGTAAGTGTTAATAGCCAAAATTGTGCGTGAATTTTGGGCGAATTGGAACAGTGACTGTTTTTTTGTTTACATGGGCCTTCCGTTGTTTCTTTTATTCAGTCTAGCAGCATTGTTTTTTTTTATTACAGCAAGAAAAAGATTTTTAATACAACTGGCCCAATTGGCCTTTTTTTTCAAAACAACAAAAGAAAACTTTAATAAACAAACTATAAAAGTAATATTTAACAAAAACATTAATAAAAGGTTTATCGGTACCAAAAAATATATTACTTTTCTTTTAATAAAGAAAAAATATATTATTTATTATCTTTTTTTTATAATAGCACACAGTTTTAATAACAATACTTTTTCCTAAAGCTGTAATCATGTAAGACCACAAAAATGCATTAGCCTTAATGGGCCTATTATTCGTAATTGTATTCCCTATTCGTTGTTTAATAATCCCAAACAAACAATGGGTCAAACAAAATTTGATGGCCCTTTAATTGCAATTTCCACCCCCTTTCTTTACTAACAACAATAAACCTTAAATGAGCTTGTAAACTATGCACCCTTCTTTTCAACAATTTTTCAAATGGGCTCTATTAATTAAAACTTAAAATCAAAATAACAAACGGACTGCTGAAAACATAATGGGCCTGTTATTCGTAATTGCACCTATTTTTTTCTTTTTACTAACAATACTAACACCTAAATAACTTAATAATTAATTTGGAAATAAGTTTCCATTTTCAAATCGCATGGGCCTTTGGCCAATATACTTCGCGAATGAGTTTACGGATGCATGGGTCTTTCTGCTTTAGAAAGCCCCATTTTCGCGAATTAAAATACACCCCCTAGTCTTAGATAAAGATGGGCCATCAGATACTACCGTACCATCCTTAATTAAATATTTCTTCTATCTTCATATCGAAAAATAAAATCATCGAGGTAGGATAAATTTGGGGTACGACAACTGCCCCTATTCAATTATCTTCCAGTCGAATAGCGCGAGAAAACTCGAGTCTCGTGCATTCTGATTGGAAATTTATTGAATACTTGAAGTATCCCCAAAATTTGTCCAACAGACATTAGGTTACACTGATATAGCGTACCCCTACGAGTCTTTGGGAAGGTAGGAAGAGCTGATAATATATTGCTTACCCGGGTTTGATAACGAGGCAAATGGTTTTGAACTTAAGAGCGCAATTTTGTATGTCTTGGTTTGGTTTTGATTATTCATCCATTTGGAGGATGAATACGGCAATAATTAATGATGCATGGCTGCTTGAAGATTGAGGCCATGGGTTATATTCGCGAATCGCTGCATGACGTTTAAGGCGATGGGCTAGAGTTTTGGGATAAATAAAACACATTGCTGCATGAAGTTTGATGCAATGGGTTAATGTTTTGTTTTTTTTTGAGCATCGCAACATGAAGTCTTAGGTGATGATCAATGTTTATGGAATAACGAAACGTATTGCTGCATGAAGTCTGATGCAATGGGTTAGATTTGCAAATCGCCGCGTGAAGTCTGAGACGATAAGCTAGATTTTGTGGAATAAAGAAACACATTGCTGCATGAAGACTAAGGCAATGGGTTAGGTTCGCAAATCACTGCGTGAAGTCTGATGTGATAAGCTAAGTTTGGTTTTGAACATCGCTGCATTAAGTCTGAGGCGATGATTTGTGTCGCAGAATAAGAAACACATTGCTGCATGAAGTTTGAGGTAATGTGTTAGGTTTGCAAACCACTGCGTGAAGTCTGATGTGATAAGCTAAGTTTGTTGTTTCGAACATCGCTGCATGAAGTATGAGACGATGATCTGGAACTTGGCATAACGAAACACATTGTTGCATGAAGTCTGAGGCAATGGATTAGGTTTGCAAATCACTGCATGAAATTTGAGGCGATAAGCTAGGTTTTATTTTCGAGCATCGCTGCATGAAGTCTGAGGCGATGATCTAGGTTTTGTGAAAACATTGCGGCTTAGAGGCAATGTAATAAGTTGTGAGAATACATTGCGGCTTAGAGGCAATGTACCAAGTTTGGAGAATATATTGCGGCTTAGAGGCAACATACTGAGTTTTGCGAATACATTGCGGCTTAGAAGCAATGTAATGAGTTTTGAGAATACATTGCGGCTTAGAGGCAATGTAATGGGTTCAGAGGATACATTGCGGCTTAGAGGAAATGTAATGGGTTTTGAGAATACATTGCGGCTTATAGGCAATGTAATGGGTTTTGAGAATGCATTGCAACTTAGTGGCAACGTACTGGGCTTGTAGGGAACTCATCACTGTGGGAAGACTTAGGTGATGGGCTGAACATGTCACAACATGAAGACTAAGGTGACGGGTTGAATCGTAGGAGAAGCATTGCGTTGGTCGACCCTTAGATAGTTGAATCGAGGGTGAGATTATTTATTTGTTTGCTATGTGATATATGTGTATGCATGCGTATTGAATGTTGTATGTATGTGACACGTATGATGTTTGACATTGATATGGAACCCTGAATGTATTGAATATTGAAATGTATAGGGTATGTATGCTTTAGATATGCAAAATGTATGTGTGAAATGTGTGTAAGATACGTATATGCCTTGAAGTGTTATGAAGACCATTTATGGCATTCTCTCCTTTAAACCATTGGCTTAGAGTTACCAATTCCTGGCGTTGTATGTTGTGTCGTTGCAGCTTTGTTAAACTTGAACGCAGTGGATAATGTTAGCAAAATTTGAACATTGATTTTGTATTGTGAGCGCGGGCGTAGACGTAGGTAATGGCCTATGCATATATTTGTATGTTGTGAGCGCAGGCGTAGACATATGTATTGGCATATGTGTGGCCTTTGTATTTTAGACGTAGGAGTAGACATGTACGTGGACGTAGATGTGGATTTTTCCCCCGATATTTTTCTAACCCAAAATGTTTTTCGATGTTTCATCAAATGCTTTTATTTTGTTAATCCCCCGAAATGGTTTCAAGACAATATTCACAAGTAATGATCATAGTATTTTGTAAACAAGTCTGAGAAAAGAAAAAACGCGATTTGAAAGATGCGAAGAAAGCAAATGTTTTATTGATATGCCTCTGAATAGGCGAGAATACAAGATGCAATTCCTAGAAAGAGGTAATTACAGAAGGTTTTAAAACTGTAAATGGCAAATAAAAAAGATAATTGCTACTGTTGTTCCCCAATATCCTTTTAATGATCTTATCTTCTTTGCTTCTGAGTTGTATGATTCAGATCTATCTCTCCCTTCGTGGTTCATAGTCGCAGTTCTTAGATCGCAATCTTTTTGTTCTTTATTTCTTTGTATTAAATCCCTAACTTTTGTATGGATTGCCCTTTCGGAATTTCAATCCACCAGGATAATTTTTTTGTTTATATGCCCCTAATTTTTGCCTGGATCGCCCTTTAGGGTTTTCAATTCACTGGGATGCTCCTTTTTGCCTAAGTCTCCTGTTTAAAGTTCGAGTTTAGCGAGCTTCTTATACGTAGTATTTTTACTGCGTCTGAATTTTTTGGATGCGGTAGTTCTTCCCCATCCATTGTTGTGGGGATAAGACCACCACCGGAGAATGCTGTTTTGACTACGTATGGACCTTCGTAGTTGGGTTTCCATTTACCATGTGAATCGAGGTGAGGTAGCAGACTCTTCTTGAGTACTAGACCATGTCGTGGTTCATCTTGTGCAGTACACCGTTACTCTAAAAGAATTCTGAGGCTAATTTCCGTAGAGTTCGTTTGTCGATCCTGAAGGCAGTTTCTGGATGTCCTAAAACCAAGGCTTGTCATCCGGTCCTTCTTTGCTAGCAAGACTGAGTGTTATCTCTTGATTGTGTCTATTTGTGATGCGTGGTTCGTGGTTTGACCAAGTTACTTTGAACATAGACGATATAGTTGCCAGGGCATCTGTCATTTGATTT